GGGGGGGGGGGGGGGTTGGGTTTAGGACTTATAGGGCATAAACTCAGGGTTTAGTTAAGTTACCACAATAGGTATCAATAGTAAATATGTCAGCTTAAGTTAAACCTTGAGCAAGAACCCAGTATTGGCGAGTTCGAACAGTGCCTCTCAACTGTGCTTCGGCCAACATTCTCTAGATTCTGGCTTCTTGGCAAGTTTCTCATAGTTAAATGCCCAAACCCAACCATACCAATATAGACGTTTGTGTAACATGTGCATTATATATACATATTTGCATATATATATATATATACATACATACATACATACATACATACATACATACATACATACATACATACATGTGGGTATGTCTTCCCGTCCGCGCACATGTCAATATGAACAAGTATGTTGGCATGCTTAAACAAGGATGTATGTCTGCAGACACACGCACAGGCTTCTGCTGGTGAGCATCCACGTTTATTATGTACTTGACAACGGTATTGCTCGTTCACCCGATGGATGAATGCCACTGTAGTTTAAATTCAAAGGCACCATGACCATGAATATTAAGCCAGCACGATCGTATAGATGGGAATATGATAATTTCGTGCCAACCAGCATTACCATCCCTGAGCTCAAGCTGTTGCGAGGTTTCGGGCTCACGGCCTGTTGCTTCAGGCTCTAGGTTCTGTCAACAATGTTCTGCCAAGGATGAAGACAGATATCAATTACTGTACTTGTGCTGCCGTGGTTGCTGGTACTACTGTGCTTGATAAGGCCACCATGGTAACCAACTCGATAGCTTTCATTACATCGGCCTGGGCAGCGTGTGACCTCCGAAGTTCGTGCAGCCAGGTTGCAAAATCACCGTCGCCCAGACAAGGATGGTAAAGAATTCCATCCAGTCCCGGCCGATCTGCACGTGGTTTACGGTTTAGGGTCTTAAATGGTGGATGGGTTGAGCTGGGTCGACGGGCAGTCACACATGCCACTGTCCCAACCACTCAGCTAATCCTCCAAGTTCTGCTGCAAGAAGAAACCCATCCCTGTAGCGGTAGCCTTTTTGTAAAGGCCAGCATTCACAGAATGCTTCCTTTGTTGGCTGCATGCAAGAGCTCGGGCCCAGACCCTACATCCAGACCAAATCCGACAAATCTCTCACTCCGCAACCATCAAAGCCGATGAAAACCAGTATAGAAACCTTATAAAGCTTTATAGGCCCTGTTAAAGCCGTCGCAAATCCCCATAGAGCCCTTAGCAAGCCCGAGTAGATCCCCCGGCTTAGCTGATCGAGTTACCACGACCAACCCCCCGAGCTGAGGAGCATTTTTTAGGGTTTAGGGCTTAGGGTTTAGGGTTTTGGGTTTAGGGTTTAGGGTTTAGGGTTTTCACTCACTGGGCAAATCTGTGGTTGCAGTTTACTCAAGCTGTTCAGTAACCCACTGGAAGAAAGTATGTACTTCTTTGGGCTAGCTATATTCTTCATCTTCAGGGCCAGTACCTTATAGCATAGGCTTTACCCAGACCCCCAAAAGGATCTAAAAAATAGATCCCCTAAGGGGGGTTCCTATAAGGTACCCTTTAGTAGTTAGGGTCCCTAATTAGGGGATCTATTTTTTAGATCCTTTTGGGGGTCTGGGTACGGCCTACTTGGAGGTTTATGACTATTTGAACAAACTCTAAACCCTAAACCCTAAACTTTAGGCCCTAAACCCTAAACCCTAAACCCTAAACCCTAAACCTTAAACCGTGGGTACTGTCCAAAGCTTGGCCCAAGGCTGAAGGCCCAAGGGCCCTGGCCTGAAACTCCAGAAACCTATTAGGGTTTAGGGTTTCGGGATTCGTTTTAGGGTTTAGGGCTTCGGGGTTCGTTTGAGAGTTTCGGGTTTAGGGTAGGGGGTTTAGGGTGGAAATCCGAGACCCGGGTGAATTGCAAGCTAAGCCCAACGCCCGAGAATCCCAACTAATGGTCACCCAGATCCAGCCAGCATGGTGCCTAAAGCCATCTTAGTCAACTCAATGTAAAGCCTAGAAATACGGTACAAAGGCCAGTTTTGGAAGGCGATCAACCACTGGGAAGCCCCCACAAAAATAGACACGCCCCCATCCTTACCTGCTTTCGGCTGATCGGCAACATTGTGCACAGGTCTCCCTTCACGACCTTGGCACCAGGTAGGCTGACGCGGGCAGCACTTGGCTTGGGACTTGGGCTTCAGAGTTTGACAAGCGCTTCGGGCCTTTCTAGAAAAACGGGCTCCGCTAATGCCAAGCCCGAAACCCTCTAAACCTTAAACCCTAAACACTAAACCCTAAACCCTGAGCAAAGTACGTCTGAAGGCACCTGGAACAAATGCCTCTCAACTTCCAGCCCTGAAGCGTGCAATAATGGAGACGCCGAGAGGACTACCAACGACATTCTTGCGGGCTCTTTAGTATATTTAACATTTAAACAGTCATATATGAAATAGAATACATACATATATATATATATATATATGTCTATATATATATATGTATATATTTAGATTTATATGTATACATATGTCCATACTCCCGCCTGTAACAAAATAGGGGTCGGAATACTACGCCGAGGCTTCGCCTCGGAGTCTTCCCATCCACTCAACTCCCCTTCCCAAACGTTCTGTGGTGCCTAAACCCTAGGGTTTAGGGTTTAGGGTTTAGGGTTTAGGGTTTAGGGTTTAGGGTTTCTGATTATTATTGAGGCCCCCAAAAACGTCTAGTCTCCATTGTAATTCCTTTTTGGTTTAACAAACTTTGGAGTTAGGATCCTACCAGGTAGGAGCTGCAATATCTCCAGACTTCATTCGGTGTTTACCTGGAGTTTAACTGCACATTTGCTTGTTCATACCTACCAAAACCTAAGCCCCTGAACCCTAAAATCCCTAAACCCTAAAATCCTGTAACACCCTAAACCCTAAACCCTAAAATCCCAAAACTCCCTAAACCCGAAAATCCCTAAACCCTGGACTCCATACAACCCGCCAAGCCCTGGAAGCCGCCGAAAGTTCCTGGAACCGGGGTCCGGACCACCGCTTAAAATGAAGACAGAGCCATCCTTCTCTTTTTGAGCCCAGCACAGCATCCCGTCGCGGCGATACAAAGTTTACAGGTTTCGGTTTCGGGCTCGTAGGGTTCAGGGCGTACGCGACACTCCTGAGCCCGAAATTCCCAACCTTCGAAGGCTTGCAGGGCATAGGCTGTCTTAACTTAGCACCGAACTGCACAAATCTGACGAGACCTCATGAGATGATCTGCATAGTTGTCCCTTCACCCCCATCACAACCGCAGCCAGCTTGAAGCCATGTGCCGCAAGTTAGTCAGGCTCTAGACATCATCAGCCCTAGCCGCTGAGCCACAGCCCTAAGCTTCAACCACAACCCGGAACCCCAAACTTAATATAGGGGGCCTTCATAATTAGAATAGGGTTGGGGTATATTAAACTATGATTATAATGAGGAACCCAAGGCCCTATTCTAGCTATTGAGGCCCAAACCCTGAATCCTGAGGCTCGAGGCCCTTTTGCTTCCCGCACATCCGCGTGTCAGTGGCTATGGGAGTGCTGAGGTTTCGAACCTCGAACGCCCACGCCGAGGTTGAGGGTCTAGCATATCAGGATTTAGGATTTCATTCAAGGAGACTTTAAGGATTTAAGACGTAAGGCTTCGTGGCTTAAGTTCAGGAATTAGGATTTCCGTCAAGGTTTAGGACTTCAAGGATTTAAGACTTATAAGGCTTTGAGGTTTAAGTTTAAGGTTTGCGGGTTCTAAACTTACTGCTTGACGGCTTGGGGTTTCAGTCATGCTGTGTGTCTGCGACTGAGAACTGAGGCTTTAGGCTGTGGGGCGCTCGGTCTCCTGTCTTGCTTGGTTTCGATAGCCGCTGATGTTTCAAACTGTTTAGGGTTTAGGTTTCAGGGTTTAGGGTTTAGGGTTTGGGGCCCTAAATCACCAAACCTAAACCGTGACAGAAGCCTGAACTAAGCAGGATTCTTCTCATAGGGACTTCGCATAGCTGTCCGCAACTTGTGAGAACTTCCCCCATATGATCCCCACTCGAATTGTCAGCAGGCTCTCGCGAATCTCAGCTTGCACCGACTTCCGAGATTGCCTGGACGCAACGTGACCCTAAACCCTAAACACTAAACCCTAGATTCTGAGACCCTAAACCCTAAGACCCTAAGACCCCAAAACGAACTGTGACTCGAAGCCCTGTCGAGCCGACACGACAGGACCTCAACCTCCGAAGTCTTACGGCCGTAGCTTTGGGATTATAGGGCTCAGGCTCTTAGGGCTGTTTGGGTTTTAGGGTCCGGTTTTAGCGTCCAGGGCTTTAGGGCTTTGTTCGGGTTCCGAAACCTCAACAGCCGAAAACCCAAGACCTAGGCACCAGGGTTTGCAGTGCAGGTTTGTGTAGTTCTCTAATTAGGGCCCCTTTTCAGACACCCTTATAAAAAAAGGAACTGAAAAGGGACCCAGTTTAGCGAACTACCCATAGGCCCTAAAGTAGTCCCTTTTTGGTGTTCATATATAGAACCCTATAAGGTAATCCCCAAAAGGAACTACTATGGGGCCTATGGGTACCTATTTGAGGATTCTGATTATGGGTGTCCTGGGGCACACAGCTCTTCAGATCACGGGTTGCAAAAAAAACCGCCTTCACAACTCTAAACCCATAACTCTGAGCCCTACCCTAAACCCTGAAACCCTGAACCCTAAAGTTCATAAACATCCTAAAAATCTTTAGCCCTAAACCCTCAACCCTAAAAGTCCGAAAAGCCTATAGCCCTAAACCCTTTAGCCCGAAAGCCTTGAGTCCTCAACCAAATCCTAAACCGTTTAGGGTTTAGGGTTTAGGGTTTAGGGTTTAGGGCCGATTGCATGCTTATCGACAGAGGTTCGGGTTTAGGGTTTAGGCTCCTCATGGGTGCCTTTCTAAATTAGGGTCCCTTTTTCGGTCCCCAAATAGGACCCTGCTGTAGAGAACTACCCCTATACTTTGAGGCCCAAGCATTGAAACAGCAAAGGGTGAGGGCCCAGGTTTACGGTTCTAGGCTTTGGGTTTGGGGTTCAGGCTTTACCCTAAACCCTAAACCGTAGTTCAGGATTTACCCTAAACCCCAAACCCCAAACCGTGGTTCAGGGTTTAGGGCTTCGGCTTCAGGGCTCACGGCCCAGGGCTTAGGCTTTAGGGCTCCAGGTTTAGGCTGGAAGAGAAATCTGACCGCACCCCCTCCCTTTCGACGAAGAAACCCCTAAACGCCAAACCCTAAACCCTAAACCCTAAATCGGAGACACCCCTACACCCCAAACCCTAAATCCTAAACCCCAAACCGGAGACCCCATCTGGCCTGGATACAAAACAGTTGAGGCTTCTCAGGGTGTGATATCCAAAAACACAACTTAGTCCAAACACGAAACTCTTATCCTCAACATGCCCCAGAGGGTCCATATACACTACCAGTATGGAATTAGGTCCCAAAAGACCATCCCTAGTATGGTTTTGGGGACCCAATTCCATAATAGTACTATATGTGGACCCTCTTGGATGTTGAACTTTAGACATCAAGAACGCGACGTCCCTGAACAGAAAACACAAAGCCGACGCAGCACCTTAGGAATAACGCCCCAAGCCCAAGAGTGGCCGTCTGGAAAAGGGAGAACCGTCTGTAGCCTTCTGAGCGAAGAACTTGACATCAGGGTCCTGCAGGACAGCATGTCTTCTGTCTCTATTTGGCCGAGTCGAATGGCCTAAGCCCATCTTACGATTATTGATAGAATTGCCCTGAAGCTTGCAGCTGCAAACCTTGACACCTCAATTAGCGCTTTCAAGTAGAAGCCATTGCCTTAAGGTAAAACAAAGGGGGAATCCCAGCAGCAATCATCCCAAACTCCATGTGGCAACTTGGGGGGTTTGCTGTGGGGCTCTCCCTGAGGAGCTCCGGATGGTTATGGGGTGCATGCAGCACACCCCGGCTCTCACGACGGCCCCCGACCGGGCATCCGGAACAAAAGTTGCAGATTCGTGCTGGTGCTGTGACTTGCTCACCATGCACATGTGGGATTTTTCGGGCACTCTACCAAAAGCTCCTCAGCTGAACTACTAGTACAAGAGAGATGGGGTCAGACTTCCAAGTATACATGCCGCATCTGCTGCGCTCTTGAAGCTTTGCCGCCACTAAACCACCAACCCGAACCCTAAACCCTAAACCCAACCCAAATCCTAAACCCTCTGAATCCTCAAGCTGAAGTGAGACTAAGCTAAACCCATCAGCTGTAGCAGAGCACACCCTCACATATTTTCCAAACACTCAAAACCCTTAGGCCGGAGAGTGAACAGTACACTGCTTGGGGGTCATATCGCCATGCAGTCCCAATTTTTGAGCTCGATCATCAACTCTCCCCAACGCCGGCTCTAATTGCCAAACCCCTGATATAAAACCCCCTAAACCCAAATAAGGACATATGAAAAGTCTACGACAACACCTATACAAATACTCCTCAGAGTACCCAGGCCCCCCTGCGCAGAATTACGCGGCCCTGCAGCCTAAGCTCGAAATAATCCCCCAAACCTCAAAACTCAGAGTCCCTAAACCCCCAAATCCCTAAACCCAAAATCCCTAAACCCTAAAACCCTAAACCCTAAAACCCCCAAAATCCCTAAACCCCAAACCCTAAACCCCAAACCCTAAACCCCAAACCCCAAACCCTAAACGCTAAACCCTGAAACCCCAAAGCCCCAAAACCCTAAACCCTAAACCCCAAAATCCCTAAAATCCCTAAACCCCAAAACCTTCCTAAAAAGGTGCCGATCCTCGTCGGCTAGCATCTTGTAGAGGCAAGGCACGAGCCTTCAACACAGCACTAGGGTTTGGGGTTTAGGGTTTAGGGTTTAGGGTTTAGGGTAGTGTTTCGGGTTTAGGGCCTTCAGGGTTTAGGGCCTTTAGGGTTTAGGGCCTTTAGGGTTTAGGGGCTTAGGGTTTAGGGTTCAGGACTTCAGGCCTTTAGGGTTTAGGGCTTAGTGTTTAGGGTTTATAGGGCCTGTAGGGGCAGGAGCCTTCAACACAAGCTGCTCCTAACGGTTTCATTTGGGGGCCCGAAGCATTGGAATAAGGTTTTTGGAACCTATGATAAGCCGCTCAGGGCATTAGGGCTTAGGGGACTTAGGGGGGTTTAGGGTTTAGGGCTGAGGGTCTAGTTGGTGGGGTTCTTAACCCCGAACCTCACCGAACTAACCCCTAAATTTAAGCCCTAAGCCGCTAATCCCCCGAAGCCCAAAATCCTCAAGCCTGATCTTAGACACCTTAAGCCTTATCCCTAAAACCTCACATGGACAACTCCTGCTGGATGCATCCGCGCCGCTTGTCATTGAAGTTCTGTGGCCTCCACATGCAAACCTCGTGCATGGCCTGGCGCTGGTCAAATTGAGGTTCGAAAGGGCTTGATTCGGCAAGGTGAACCATAAACCCCTAAACCCTAACTAAAAGGGTTTAGGGTTTAGGGTTGAGGGGTTTAGGGGTTTAGGGTTTAGGGAAACCCTAAACTAAAACCTAAACCCCTAAACCCGCAAACCCTAAACTAAACACGAAGCCCGAAACACCTGAACCCGAAACCCCCAAACCCCCTAAACTCCTAAACACTATTCAGGCTCATATGCTCGGCTTGGGGACATGAGCTTCAAGATAGAGGTACCTAGAGGGCTAGGGTTTAGGGTTTAGGGTTTAGGGTTTAGGGTTTAGGGTTTAGGGTTGAGGGCATTGACTACGAATTACTATGGAGTTAGGTCACCAAAACCATAGTAAGGATGGTCTAGCGTTCAGGGTTTAGGGGTTTGGTGTTTGGGGTTTAGGGAACCCAACCTCATAGGTTGATAGCAAAAGAAGGACCCTCTGGGGTAGGTGGCGGCAGGCTCAGGCTTTGCTTACGAGTTCTGGCTTGGACTACGGTTGATGGTATAAATCCTGCATTACCCATGATAAGGAATATAACATAATTCCCATAGTTTAGGGTCCTTTAGATCATGCAGGATTTTTTATCATCAACAGCATGACGGAAAGCTCGAGGGTTTTGAGTTCGATACCAGCAACTCAATGGAGCCCGCCGTGATGCTGCTAGAAACCATAACGTGGACGCAGCAAGGAGTTGGGGCTTAGGGTTTAGGGCACAACGCCCTGAACCCAAACAAAACCTTTCAACCACCTCGAAAATGACGATTGTGGAAACCCGCGCAGAACGCTGCTAGCTATAAAGCCCCTACAGTTACAGAACCCCGAACAAACCCCCCAAAAGCAAGAATCGTAAAGGACCTTCAGAAAGCCATGTAAAGCCTTTAAGAACCGCTGAAACAAGGACCCAACACATCCTAACCTCTGAAAGCCTAAAGCTTTCAAGATTGCCGCCTTCATGATCCCTTAATCCTGCAACCTACACCCCCTAAAAACCCCAAACCTTAGAACCCTAGAACCCTGAACCCTAAATCCTAAACCCTTAAACCCTAAAACCCTGAACCTTAAAGCCCTCCCTCCTAAACGGCCCCCCAACAAAAACCCTCGACTCCAGCGGTGCCTTGATCGTCTTTGCGGCGTTGAAGCGCACGTTGGGCACCGGGTCGTTGGCCATCCGGGCGACCTCGGCAGACTTCGGGGAACTACTCCAGGTGGCCTCGAGATGTTTTTTTGCATCGGGTTTTGGGGTATGTTGTACTATAAATATAAAAACAAATAAACAAATACATGAATAATAAAATAAATAAATATATATATATATATATATAACATAAGAAACCCCGCAAATTGTATAGGTGGTAATTAAGGCCCCTATATTATACGGTCGCTGTAATCAGGCAATTGTGACAAGAGTGCCTTTCAGGGTTCCTTACAAGGTTCTTTGAACGAGTTCTGAAGAAGGGTACTATAAGGGTTCATTTCAGAGTTCCTTTAAGGGTTCTTGACTGGGTTTAGGGTTTTTTCTCGGAGGGTGGGTTAGGGTTTAGGGGCTAGGGGTGCTATCAAAAGCTCTGTAATCCCCAGCAGTGAGTTTAGGGTTTAGAAAGAGTGCTAGATGAATCATTATTTGCCAAGGTGTCGCAGGCTTTCCAACTGATGCTTGTTCTAACCCTAAACCCTAAACCCTAAATGCTAAACCCTATACTACAATTTATAGGTTGACGGGGGTTTCCCTATAAGGCTTCTTGTTGCAGGCCTCATAGCATGAGCTTCAGAGCTGAGACCTTCGTTCGGGTGTACAGCACCAAAGGGCTCTGGGTTTAGGGCGTTCGTCGTCGGCTGGGGGATCGTTTAGGGTTTAGGGTTTGTGCTAATTACCACCCTAGTTTCCGGTGCCCATGTGCATCGGAGTGTTTCTTCAGCAGGTATAGTGAACTTTGAATGCAGAAGAAGAAAAATGCCCCAGCACTGGGAGCCTTCTTAACTTCAGGGACCAGGCTTCAAGGCTTATCATCTGGGTAGTTCTCTAGATTAGGGTCCCTTTTAGGGTCCCTTTGGTAAGGTTGCCATACTATTTTGGGGGTCCAACAAGGACCCTAATTTTCAGAACTACCATTTTGCTGTGAACTACTTGTCAAAAATCGCCACGACGCGCTAAAAGCCTCACACTTCTGTAGGCTTAGGTACACCAAGACTCACAGTCCAACCAATGCATGCACAAGCTGAACCATCGGCAAGAATCACTCCAGCACAAATCCCTTAGGGGCTGAGTACCCTAGCCCCAAAAAAGGCTAACCTTTTCAATATATGGTAGGATTATATACCCTAAACCCTAAACCCT